TCAGTTTGATCATAGGTCTGATATAGTATTGAGTAATAATGTAAATAATCTTATATTGTTATGTTTATATGTATAGTATTATATAATAATGTCTATTTAGATGTTTTTATTCAATAATTATTACAATGTATTTTAAATATCCATGCAGTAGAATTAGTTGACTTAATATTTCAAAAGTTCATGTTTTTATGTTAATTATTTGATATAATAATGTCATGTTTTGATATGGTTATATGTATAAATGTATAGTAATATATATTATATAATAATAATAATATTTGTGGAGTTTTTTTGTTCAGAAATTACTATTCATTGTAAATAACTATGCACATATCAGTAGGATTAGTCGACTTAATATATTTCAAACGTTCAAAATGTTTTTATTCCCGTGGCTGACAAATCGACGAGCGACGCAAGCGCCATCCGCCGTGTATATTAGCATAGGAAAAGGAATGTAGCACAATGCTGCGCGGCCAAAGTGAATTATTGAGAGCTGATCTTTCTATGCACATCGCACTTGACATAGCCCATAGCAAGCATTTAATGCCGTGATCAATATATCAAATCGCCCAGTTTTTTATTTTTAACTAGTCAAATGATTACTAATAAACAGTAAAAACTTGAGAATACATTTAGTGCCGTTAGTAGGCCCCTACTTACTTTTCATGGAAAAAAATTGCAACAAAGATTTTACAAAATTAATATACACCATAGAATATTCGTGACGTAGTCAATTTAATTATTCCTATACATCTTTGTAGCATGGCATAGCAAGGTAACATGCATCCTCAAATAGCGATGAATCAGAATCGATGCTAACAGCATATACAGTCTAACATCCAATGCAATAATAAAATAATGATATAAAATGCAATTAAAGTCTGCTTTACCTTCCGATAGGCTAGCTATGAATATAAAACTTTGTAGAAGACGAAAAATTAAGCTTACTACATACATCAATTTCTCTTGCAGCAAGGAGAGATTCTCATCGTGCCGTACACGGACATCGGTTGGTCACCTTACTTCCTCTGGTGTCCGGTCTGTGTACGGAGATGGGTGGCATCCTGTCCCATGGTATAGACATATGAATGCGCGCGAGAGAGAGCGAGGCAGGGAAGAGATAGTGTGAGAGAGATAGCGGCGGGGAAGAGAGAGAGAGAGAGAGAGAGAGAGAGAGAGAGAAAGAGAGAGAGAGAGAGAGAAAGAGAGAGAGAGAGATAACGATAGAGAGAGAGAGAGAGATGGGAAAGGGAGAGAAAGAGAGACACAAAGAGAGAAAGTCTGAGCAACGGGGCGAGAAGGGGTGGGGAGTAAAAAATGGTTTCATAATTACTAAATTTATTTTAAATATTGTCCCTGGGGTTCGTGCACTGCGATGCACGTACTGATGCCATATGGTTAGTGCGATGGATTGATGGATGGATGAATGGATGGATGGATGGATGGATGGATGGATGGATGGATGGATGGATGGATGGATGGATAGATGAATGGATGGATGGATGGATGGATGGATGGA